GAGGGCGTACAATCTGCTACTTCGTGATGAAGTGCAGCCTTGAACCTGAATCCACCGGGCAGGTCCTTCGGCGCTTTCCGTAGGTTACTCAACCTGCCCGGGATCGTCGCACTTTCCCATTCCCCAATAACCGGTCGGTCTGAGACACTGCTCACCAAATCCCCTGCCCCCTCTTCACGGCTTGGTGTCTCTTTTGTAGACGAGCTGCTTGGCGATGCACTAGGGTGGTCGTCACCGTCGTCTCTGGCGCGGGAACTGGCGCTGCTCTCAGACGCCACTGTTTCCGGTACATCCTGCAACTCCGGTGGCACTATCATAGTGATAGGCTCCACGGCTAAAACCCCTTCCTCCTCTCCTTCTCTGCCCTGGTTACCTCGTTGCTCTGTGAGTTCTCGTAGTGAAACCATTTTTACCTGAAACTAATGTGAAGTCGATTCGGTGTGCTGTTCTTCAAGATTGGAGTCGCCTTGCTTCAGAGAATTTCAGAGGATTTCAAGCAAATGCAAGAGTAAAAATGGCAAAGGGAACGGTTACGAAAGAAACAAAACCAAAATGACTGTATTAAACGCAGTACGCGTGTCTCTGACGCGCCAATAGGCATCTCACACGTGATAGGCGTTTAACTGCCTTTTGCATAACGTGCGCCGCCCCTGGCTGTCACGTTCCTCAAATGCTGCGCCAGCATTTATGGCGAGGAAGGTAAAGAGATACGGAAGAGCAAGTGTATCTCCTCAGAGATCTGGTCAGATTCGGTTGATTTAAAAATCCCCAAGATTCAAATCGTCCAGGAATCAGGTCGCGCAAGCGTATCTCCTCAGAGATGCAAAAATCCACCAGAACTCAAATCGTCACTGCTGAGGTGTACCCTATACTGTCACATCAGCTCGCCATTGCAGACACACCTACCAGGTCGTTACAAACATGACATTATGCCAAATCGACTCACCCGTGACAATTCGCTGAAATTCCCCAAGATTCAGCTCGTCACATATTGTGGCGGCAGCCACATTTGTCAGGTCGATACACGGATTGCAGCTCACACAGGTCACAAACTTTTACGTAAATCAATGGGTACCTCAGGTCGCCCTAAAGGTGAGGTCGCACCTTCTGGTCGCACTTCGGTGGTGCTCCAAGCTTAGGTCGTGATAACTATGAGCTGCTCGGGCGTTCCATGCAGGGATGGTCCCCGAGCGAGCTCGTCTATTGCCAATCACTACAGCTCGCCGCCATGACCGGCCCACACTAATGTGGCCGTGAATACCAGCTCGCCCACACGTTTTCAAACTCGCGAGCTCGCCTCTTTTCGTTTTACCTTTCAGCTCGCCCTTTGTCGAGATCGGCTGCAAGCTGTTAAACCCGTTTGGAAGGGAATAGGCCCA